GAGAACCTGGCGTTCCTCGAGCCGTCGGTGACGGTACCGGCCGTTGGGCAGTGCTGCCCTAGGCACGATAGGCACGAGCGGGAGCAGCGGGAGCGTTCGCCTCAGCGTGACCAGGTGCGGATCACAGCGGACGGCCGTCTGGAACACCACCTGCATTCCCGGGTACGGGACAATCCACCAGTTTGTTATTTGCCGCGTCCCAACGATTTCGCATTACTGTCGCAGTTTTTAGTACAAAAAAGACACATTCTACCGTGATTGGAACAAAGGAAAAAAACTAATTGGAAAGATTAGCGATATTCAACGTTCATCTCAGTTTTTGTTTTGGCGGCGTTGCCGGTGTAGCATTTTTAGCTAATCAAAGTCGCAGTTATTTGATTACCCTTTTGCAAACTTCTTGCACGCGCAGATCATTTGGACTAGGATCCAATTTTTACCCCCCCCCCCCCTCTGGGATGCCTCGCTGCTCCAAGCGTTAACAACTGCTACGCCACGTGCAAGACGGCCTCGTTACGAGGGAGACTTCAGCCCTGTTACGAGATGTGCGACGAAGACTCTGATGAAGACGGTCTGGACGAGTGTTTGGAGCAGAAGTTTGAGCACATTCAGCGCACCCGTTATGCCACAAGGTCGTCTCACTATCTGAAGCGAAAAAAATGCTGGCACAAGCTACTTTACAATCGCGAGCACACGTCTGACGCGGACTTCTTAAAAGACTTTCGAATGAAGCGCTCAGCGTTTTTCGGCTCGGTTGCCATACTAAAAGATGATCCACACGTTTCTTCGATTGCATTGCCGACGTACTGAGCAGCTTTACAAGGGCATTGTAGCAGCCTTTCCACATGGAATGCTCTGGAATACACTACTAGCACCAAACTAAGCCAACATGCTCAATACCCATGCCGCGTTGACAGGACGATTGTAGTCTGGCCGCTGGCATTCGCGAAGTGCACTCCCTCCACTCGACTTGTCCACCTTTTTGCATTTTTTCCAGCAGCATTTGTTCGTTGATGGTCAGATAGTGTTGGACAAATCCGTATTAGCTGTTTTGTCAGCAGCTTCTCAGAGGTTTACAGAGTTGAGGATCTCATCCCCGTGAGACGTAGCTTGAGCTTTACCTTCCAGTGGCACTACCTAAAAGTCCTTGAGTCCATTGCACCCTGAGACGTTTGACTTGGAACTTTGCTCACCAGAAAAAAGCTGCAGCTCGACAACAATCAGTTTTTGTTGCAGTACGCGAGAAGCAATCTGATCTAATCAAAATGCAGGGGAAAATGTGGTTTGCTACACACAAAAAATTTATTGCTGCTGCAAAACTGCATACTACTATTACTGTATAAGGTGAGATTTTGTCGTCCCATCGGAGCTTTCAGTGAGACGAAAGGATGAGATTTCAGCGAGTGGCGTGTCCTATGCGCTGTATGCGTCATTTCTGATACTGCACGATGCATCAATTGCAAAAAATTGTTGCTCATTGTCTGTGGTGCCCCTCGCAGTGCCATGCGTCAATATATTCCATGCTTTTAAATGTGTGTACTCGAATGCTCGCATGATAGCAACGCACAATGGATCGTGTATAATGCTCCGCACGTTGGTCATCTGCCCGTTGGAATATACAATGTTGAAGTTTTCTTATGAGCCGTCGGGCCTCATACTCTGCACAACGGCGAACACTTTTGTTGCAGCTCCCTGGCAAACCACTTTGCTGTGTTGTATCTATAGCAGCGCTGTGAACAATGATCACGTTACGCATCATTCCCGACCATTACAGGTGGTTCTTTCCTTGGAGGCTAAATACGTTGTATTCTACTCGGGTGCAGGGGTGCTCGGAGAGAACTCAAGAGCGTTGACAGCTGTAGCTGATCAGTAATATGCTTAAGCAAAAAAAATCAGAATTAATGACTTGGTCATATAAAAAAAGATCAATTGCCAAATCACAGGTACAAACGCGCATTTGAAAAGATGGTTTGCCGATGTTTGGAGCTTTTGCACAGTTCGGCTGGGCTAGGACTGGTTCTGGCGCGGTGCGACGCATGTGTTAAACGTGCTGCAGCCAAACGCCGACGATTTCGAACTTAGAAGACGAGAGCTTGATCGTTGTCGGAAAATATGCAAGATTAGCGGCGGCAACCGAGTTGCTGCTGGTGACGCAGCTCCGCAAAGTACTGGCGACTCTTGTGACGGCGTGTGATGTTGTGGTCATCTGGCCAATGGCATGGCAGTGACCAGTGACGCTAATTATTTGAGTTCAGCTGGTCAGATTATTCTGGTCGGCGTAAACTTTAAATTGCGTGTCTTTACATCAGTCTACACTCCTATTGGTCCAAAAATCACATGGATTTGCAACAATCAACTTTCCATCCGGAAATTGTGATTATGGGACGCAGTGCGAAATTTCCGACCAAGATAAGATTAGGATTCGTAGGTTTTCATTGGTAGCTACAGATAAAACAGGATTGGAGAAAGATAGTTTTTAGGATGGGACCTGGATATGTGCGTGACTATCCGGTTGCCAAGAACTATTGGTTGTGCGACAACTACTAGCTTGCCGCCGCCAACTCTAACTGATTAATCACTTCTCAATTTGCCTCTTCTGTTCAACTCGACCTTCAAGCAAGACCTCGACTGCAGCGCCGCCGCTGCCCCTTCGCCTCCGCCTCCGACTCGCCATCGCCTCCTACCTCGACTCTCTTCGTCAAGGCTGCCAACGACTGCTTCCTTCGTTTGGTAGGCCCAAGATCGTCACACACTGCGGCTGACACGTGGTCTGTCGGGAAGATACCCAATGACGTAATGGATAGAACGTATGGCCGCTGCGCTCAGATACTCTCAAGTGGCTAAATGGAGGAATTTGTTTGATGAATTTGGGCTGGATTGTACCACAGTCGAGTAATGGTAACAACGGCGGTCGCAAAGTGTAAGTTGTTTAGCGCAATGCATCGTCGATTGAGGGGTCCCGTCCATCTTTCAACGAAGGTAAGTACTTTAGCGCTTCGCATTTCTCTCTTACTACCTCCAATGGGTACTAAAGCTGAAAACGGTGCGGTTAAAATACGGATGGCCGGTCGTGTTTGAATTTATTACAGAGTAAAGGTTTACGAAATATCCTAGGTTTGCCATGGAATATACATTAGGGAAATGCCAAAGAAGTTCTAGGACACAGCTACAAAGGAAATTGCTATGCTAAATCGAGCCTGGCCAATGTGATATTCAGTTGTTGTTCGTGAAGGGAAACATTCGAGTTTGAGGTCACACGTATATATTTGTTTGTGCTGATCCCGATTGCCCACCAGAATTATTGTTTCGCCGTGTTATTGCGGAGGGAATAATTTATGTTGTCCTTATTGGTGGAATGACGTCTTATTGGACAGCACAAATAGAAGCGAACGACTTCGTCGTCAATTCGGCTAGTATCGTAAACACAAATCAAAATTTGGAAGCTCAGATGCTGTTGATACAAGTTGGACGGGAATACAGACAGCTGTAGTGATCGATCGAGCTGTTGTGAATGCTAATGAACCTTAATCCGCTGTTTGGGATGAAACAGATGACAGCGCGGTTGCAGAAACGTTGGATGCGGTTACTCAACGATTCAATGCTTCAGCCCCAGCACATCAAAATTCGATGAACGATGCAGATGAGATTTACAAGCAGCAATCCGTGAGTATTGTGACTGATTTTGATCAATAACTGAAATTGAGGATGCGCTGCGATTGCTACGAGGAGGTGATGTAATAGTTCGTCGATCTAGCAAAATAATGTTGGATCTTCTATTTGTTTAAACGTCTCTGCCTCTCTGTGTGTGTGCGTGTGTGCGTGTTTTACCATATCACCGAGTAGTAGCACTACATACCGTGTTCCAAATTTAGCAGGCGCGATCCCGCGAAATTTGGTGGAGGCTAATGCTGCGCATCATTTGGATTGTACTCAAGCTAGCCTTGGGATGATTGCTACATTAAATCCGGTCATGTGCGAAGTAAGTTCTACGGGAAATGTAGTATGACTTGTACACAGGCTAATATCATGTATTGCTGGAGCTCTGTGTACGTGTAGATATTTTGATCATGTAATCGATATCGTGATAAGAACTGGGACCAGAAGCAGAGATCGGACAATAAAATATAAAATTGTCTTGACGTTTTTGAAAAACATAATATGTTATTCCGAATCGATAAAACCAATAATAAATTATTCAATTATTACACTATATTGTAAGGGTCAGAAAGGTGTAGTGGGTTGGGAACTACCCTACCAATCCACTACGCATAGGTTCGAGTCCCACACCTGTTGCGAAGCTGGTGGCTGTCACTAGGTCCTGTATGGTCCTGGCTAAGGTCTTTGCCACTCAAATTTTAAAGTTGGTGTAGCCTGTTTCAGAGGCTTGCTTCCGGACGTTACCACACAGCTTGCAGGAGAACTGACCGACATTCCAGTCGGTGTAGAAGAAGCTTTAAAGGGCTCGAGAGGTGAACATGATGCTTGTACTTGTCAGAATTGAGAATGAGCAGTCATGAGATGATGCAGAACTTGGGTAAGACCTGTAGGAGCCAACCATTCGATTTAGTCTTGCTTCAACCACCAGATTTACTCTTGTCACTTTTTCCTTGTGATAAAATGTCAATGCAATTATTACGGATGATATTGGATATTTTATGGAAACCTCTGATTTCCAATAATACGTTATTCCGCAATATAATACCACAATTATTATATTATAATGATTATATCCGAGCTCAGCCAATACACCAAAACCAGGGTGTCGAATATTTGGCGACGTGACAACAATATATATATATCCACAGAGTCGCAATCGTCTACCGGCATTTTACCCTGTCACATGATGATATGGGTGGCGGATTTCCCCACACCAGTAGACGAGTACAAACAAATGTGGAAGTCGGTATTATTTAAGCAACGAATAGTTGACTACGTGTATTCTGTAGTAATGGCCATTACGAGATGTCGGACAATGTACGAGTTGCAGCAGAAACGCGCTGGACCCTGCTCCGTTTGACCAGCGTGCATATCAGCAGATAAAAAGAGAGACGCTCCCTTCTCTACTTGTCGATGCTGTTTGTGTGGCCATCATGTTGGGAGAAACGAAGTTATTACGAAAAGTTTAGCTCGTGAGATCGAGACAGTGAACGATTCGTGTAATGCGACATGGGATGGTGCTATTTTGATCGTCAAGCAACATCTATATCCGTCATGGGCTCGGGCGACAGACGAAGATCGAAAACGTGCTGAATACACGCTCGTTGCATTCATTTCAACGTCACCACTGGTACCATTCTCGGTCCTGTTTCAAGCGAAGTTAGCGCACAGCAACTGGTAAAGTTTGCTTATGTTCTTTTCCAAAGTAAGCTGTAACAAAACAACGTGGAACCATTTGAATTGTGTTGTGAATTATATTTATCTACATTATGGTACTAGAAGTTGTAGAGTGTAAGACCACAACGGCACAGGAGAGATGGGCTGGAGCGAGGAGGCGCAGTCGAAAGTTTTGTGGCGTTGAGGATATAAGTAGTGCCTGAAGGGGGCAGTTGATCGTCGACTAACCTCGATGTGGCCTTCGCCTTTGCGTTTTAGTTGGTGTTCACAACTCATTGTACCGAACGCCATCGGATAATTGATAATGAATTGTCAATGCCCACGTGCCCGTGATCAGTAACACAGTGATGTGCAATCACGCCATTAAAGTTTTGACGGCCGAAGAATGCAGATTGAAGTCTTCACGCGCCAAAGCTTATATATTAATACTGCAATATTAGGTTCTACGGCGCTGGTCGTCCAGTGGCAATTACGGTCCAAGTCTCACAGGCAGACGGTCGACAAGTTTATCGCCTGCGCCGGCAGTGTGCCTATAAGACAGCACTCCTT